TTATAGTTTGATATTTATTATAAAAGGAAATAATTACTTCAAATAAAATTGTTGAAAATTTACATTGACATTGTACACCAAGATAAAGGGAAATAATAATTAACATTTCATTTTCAAATTAAACATAGCTTTGATATTAAATAGTTTTTGTTATTGTTAAAACAGTATATAACTATGAAATTCTGATGATTGGTTAAAAATTTGGTATAAATGTTAAACCCATGTAAAACATTATATTGTGAGTTAAATATATACTCCTGTTTACATTGCTGTAATCTGTGGATTTCTAATCGGATTTGACATAAGTATACGTATTGTTACTGGTCCTCAGTTTGTGGTAAGGTAACGGTAAGAATCTTGAGGAAAGCTAATAGTAACACCTCGATAGGCTACACTGCCATTGTTGAAGTTGTGCTAGTTAACACTTCAGATATTATTTTTTGATGAAACCATATTGAGATATATTAAACATTGGGAATATTTATGTATTATGAATTAAAATAAATCTTATTGCACAGAATTAAATGTCATCAATTTGATCTGTTTTGTTGTTACTGTTGCTAAATTAGGCCTAGTGCTCGAACCATTCGGGGCTGTAGTCACCCCGCAAACTAATTCGGCTACAATATATTAGCTACTTAGGTATTTTGCTTGTGATTATTTCATTTTTAAATAAAATAAAATAGTAAAATTGAATGTAGAGATCCGAGCAACGAAAGAATTGCAAATAATGAGGTAGGTTATGATTTTTTTCAACAAAATTGCACAAAAGATATCTCAAATAATTGAACTGAACATGATCTATTTACCATTTTTATATTTGAATATTTTGCAAAAACATAGTCGTCAATAAGCAGCTGTAGGATTACAAATAGTTTTGCATTGTATGAGTTATAACTACTAGTTATTTTGTTTTTCTGTGCTTCTTGAATAGTCTTTTCATTTTGTTGGCGACTAAATAGGAAAAAAGAACATTGTATATATACAGAAGTTAAAAGTAATGTAATGGACTAAAACACCTGTCTCCAAAAAGATTTAAATAAAATAAAACAACAAGAAAAAAAGAAAAGGGCAAAGATGGCCCTAGATTGCTCGACTGACCTATCGAACATTTCAGAGCAATTAATCAGACAAGTATCCCGACCAAGTTTTATGACCATTTAGTAAAAAAATGTGATCCCTAGAGTGTAAATAAGGTTTTTCCATATTTGGGCGGTGTGACCTAGTTTTTGACCCCAGGTGACCCATAATCGAACTTGACAAAGAAACGATCATAATAGTAGCCACTTGAGTGTTAACAGGATTTTTCTTTTTTTAGCACCTGTGACTTAGTTTTCCATCCGCGATGACCCATGTTCAATCACATCCGAGCAATTACATAGACACAAATCCTGACCAAGTTTGATGATGATTGAGTAAAAGAAGTAACCACTAGAGTGTTAACAAGGTTTTTCTATATTTGGGCGGTGTGAGCTACTTTTGATCCTAGGTTAGCTATATTCGAACTTGACCTAGAAATCATCAAAATAAATTTTCAGACCAATTTCCAGGATATTTGGATCGACACAGTAGCCACCAGAGTGTTCACAAGATTTTTCTATTTTTACCACCTGTGACCTAGTTTTTCATCCGAGATGAGAAATATACTTTACAATAAAATGGATAAGCTTGGGTTTCATGAAAAAATAAATAATGCAGTTGTATATCAGAATGTTTTGTAGTCTTTGAAATTAAACACCTTTAATATCGAGTGGTTCACTGTGAGTACCGGCCTAAAGCAGGGTTGTTAAATGTCTCTGTTGCGACCTCTATATCAACGATTTGGCATTTAAATTTAAATCATCAGGCAAAACAGTGGATATTGACGAGGAAAATGTTCAAATCTTAATTTATACAGATGATGTTGTTCTTGTAGCCAAGTCTGAATCTGAACTTCAAAATATGTTAAATATACTTGACTTATGGTGCAAAACTAATGGCATGTTTGTCAAACTTGAATCTAATATTGTTCACTTTAGAAATCAGTATGTTTCTCATTCCGAATTCATTTTTGATACTGGTTATGCATCATTGAAAAATGTTAATCAGTATAAGTATCTGGGCCTTGTTTTAACCGAAAATTTAGTCTATGCAATGACTGCTAAAACAGTATCAAAGTCTGCCAAAGAGCTTTAGGAATATTTCTTTCAAGGATAAAACCATATTGAGGTATCCCGTATGAAGCTTTTATAAAAATGTATGAGGCTACTGTTTTACCAGTAATTACATATGCTTCGGCAATTTGGGTCTGTTCTTGTATAAATGCAGTACAAAATAGTGCTGCGTGTTATTGTTTGAATGTCAGGACATATACTCTAGTTGCAGCAACTTTTGTTGACATTAGTTGGAACCAATTATGTACTTATTATGGAAAACTGTTTTGTCAAGTTGGTGTAGATACACTTTTATGGATACAAACAGACTTAATAAGAAAATTTTCATGTGGACAAATAGATGGTCAAATAAAAATTGGAATTGGAAACAAATCTGCAGTGCATAAAATATTTCTGTTTATGGTCTGGAGAGTTGTCACCCTTAGAGTAAAAACAGGCTCATGTAATTTTATTTTAGAATGGCTATACATGTATTTTATGTTGATATTGTGTACTTTTTAATTATATGTTATCATGTATAGATGAGTGTCTTTTTAACAATATATAAAATAATAAAATATAACACATTTCATTGCAGATCAGATATGAAAACAAACATCAACAAAAGATCAAGCAACACAGGACTATCGGTAAGGAACAGACAATAAACGCAGCCGAGGATGAAAATACAATAACATTGCATGTATATAGGGGGAGACTTTTTACGGCCGTCACAAGAGCAAATAAAACATATGTGAGCATAAAATATAAAAAAAAACAAGATGAAGAATCTACCAATAATGTCTAGCTACATATGTTTTATGATGGATGGTTCAGCAATACCGGTATCTATTTTGTAAAATATGAAAAACAAGATCAACAAGGAAAGGCGGCGTCCAATGAACGCAACCCCCATATGACCCAGCAACAAGAACCAATGGCAAGGAGCCCAGGCGGACCCCAAACATAAAAAGGACAGGGCAACGACACGTTAATCATTAAATGATAAATAATTTGAAACTGATTAGGAATTCAAAGAAAATAATAATAGGCCCACAAAGGGGAAGGGGACAGAAGACCGGGGGAAGGGGGGGGGGGTTTAATCAAAGAAATAAAAACTAGAGGCAATGGGGAAGATACTTACCGTAGACGAGAAAACAACAAGGGTAATTGTAATACTGTATTAGTTTAATAAAATATATTAATCTGTTATTGCTTCTTTTTTATTACGTCCATTGATGTTTGTTTGTAACCTCAAACCTTCTTGCACAATTCCATTCTAGTCTATATGGTTACGCCCGTTGTTTGCTCGATTTAACGTATTCTTTAACCTTGGGGACCATCTGCTCCTTTTCATGAACATGTATGCCATATTGAAAGCACAATGATAACTGCCATAAGAACTCACAATTATTGCGTTTTAAGCTGCATGCCTCCATATGAGCCTTCACATTTCATAACAATTAAATCTGATATTTTTAGACATACTCGTATAATGTAAAAAGATTCAAGATAAAACAAATACTTTACATGTTTTATGCGATTAATGATTGATTTTTCCCAGTGTTTTAACAAATATCTTCTGTGTTACGCATTAAAGGCTGTTTACGAATTTTTGAACTCATTTTGGTAGATTACAAGGGTTTCTAAGTACTATTTGTAGTGTGTGAATTGTTTCCTTTTGGTTACATCATATTATTTTACTTTAAAATACATTTTCAAAATTTTATGAAAATTAACGTAAAATCTGTAAGCGGGCTGCATTCGTTTCTTTATTCTCACGTAAGGCAATAGAAAAAACATGGAAACCATGGGACGAATAAAAGGGCCGCTATTAAAATCTGGAAACAAAGTGATCCGCCGGAATCATTGACCACAACAAAATTACATAAGAATACTAACTCGGTTTGATTGAGACTGTACATGAGGGATAATTAATATGTGCAACATCCCTCACACCCTCTAGCACCGGCTTGAGTGGTACTCAATTCTCAACACTTAAAAGTGCTGGCATCAATGATCCCGAAGGGCGAGAAAAATATAACAACAGTGAAGTGAAGTACGGGACAACTTTTTATTCCGCACTTGACACCTGCTGTTGTGAAGTATAAAAATTTGGAAACAAAGTGATCCCTTGAAAGCTCGTTTTGACCGAACCTGCCCAAAGACGTGCTGTTAAACTACGAATTAAGAAACAATGTAAATTTATACATAAGATTGGCATCATTAAACTTTCAAATGCGACTATGTTGCTTTCAAACGTATATATCTGTTACATTTGCTAGAAATTGCAACAATAAAACACATGCGTTATTACAAAATAATTTCATATACATGTACTATATAGGGTATATCTGTTGAAAAACAAATATAAATATATGATATACCAGGACAAGATCGGATTTTGAACTATTTCATTTACCTAACTTAAAGAATTTAAGGGGCGATACAAAGATCGGATACTTCTCGAAGTAATAAAAATTTACTTCCTTTATGATCTTTACATCGCAACTTTTTATGGTTAGGTTTTAAGTAAAGGCAACAATGTAAATGTCATTTGGTGACATTCAAGCTTTTGGTAGAGGAAGGCCTATTCCTCCGTGCAATATTTTAGGTCGGAACGAGCACAATTGATAGACGTATGCTAACTGGATAGCTACCTCATATGAAATAATCTGACGGGATTCGAACCCATAACGGTGAGTGGCACGTGTTTTGAAATCAACAACCTTAACCTTAACCGCTCGGTAACGGGCACCGCTTGTTAACTAAAAATTTCTTTTGAAATAAATTCACCTTTTTACGCCGCAACATATTTTTATCAGACATTTTGGAATTAACTCACAAAAAATAGAAGGAAGCAGTAAGCTTTTTCAATACATTTATATTTCAAATATATATATAAATTCCTTATTTATGCTTTATTTATACATAATAACATCAAGGAAGGTCATGGTAGAGAGTAATTTCGTACTTTATAGATCATATGTTATACTCAGTTTTTATCTAGAGCATACTACACATGCTAACTCTCGACCTTGTGGATACTCCTGACACGGTAAGGACCCACATTTCACTTCCACGAAATAAAACAGCTTTCCATTCTGATTACTTTCACCATGTAAAACGGAGTCTGGATTGGCATCAACACATGCGTAATCTGTGGAAGCTTTTTGAGTGTTATGTCCAGACATGAGGTACCCAGTATATTCCAGCGTCCATCCTGAATAACAATCAGTTTTTCCTGGTATCATTATTGAAATTGGTCTTGGACTTCTACAAACTACACATGGTGCATCTTGGTCATGCATATTCTTGGGGAATGGATTAAAGGCAGCATAGATCTCATACTCTGTTCCAGAAATGTAAGCTCCTTCATTTTGTAGACCTTCAACGAACTTTGCCCATGTTGGATTTTCGGGAAGACAAATATAACTCGCTGCACCACCAGCAACATCATGGGGGTGTCCGGCAGTATACCCTTAAAAATGTACCGTGAATGTGGAATATAATTTCTCTATGTGATACATAAACATACTAAAACAGGTTATTAATTTTAAAATGATTTACACTTCATTAACAGATGTAAGATGCACGTTGAAAAGCAACCCGATTATTTCGCAATAATAAAATCGAAAAAGGTTTAATCTCTCAACTAATGTTCAGACTACATAAACGGTTTGTTTTCTTACCTGAATAAGTTTTATCTGTTCCATTTCCATCACAGTCATTCTTTCCCCATCTTGTATAGATGGAACCAGTATCTTAAACACAAAGTGACATTTCAAAAACATTTTTAAGAAATACATTGTGAAGTTAATTACAAGTCTCATATAGTTAAAGAAATACACGTTTAGTAAAACATTGAAAGGCCCTTTCTTACTTTCAGTTGCATTAAGTTGAGATTTTTAAAGTTGATTGAAATATTGGGTAAAACGGTATTGTATCATAGTTTGGAGACCTTTCTGTTGAAAACGTGTCAGAGTTAAATCGTATACATATACATGCACAGTGCGTTAACTGGAGTATTGTATTAACTGGTATTAGTTACCCGCACTCCAGAGCATGTCCATTGATTGGCTCATTTTTGCTGGGGTTTACTTATTGTGACGGAAGAGAAGGGGAAAGCGACAGAAATATCATATTCAGATGCTTGTCCATTGGTTACTTTTTCCCGGGGTTTCATATTGTGACAACAGGGAACGTGTTTTTATGTTTGACTATGATACAAAAGAGAAAGCACATCAAAACACTCGGCAAATTGACTAATATTTGGGGGCTACGCCCCCTCGTACAAATCAGATAGCCTCGTGTTTTGATGCTCTTTCTATTACTTAATTTCTACTATTAATGTCCAATGCTTTTTGTCGGAATCAAATATTATTAATTTCACATTTTTCAAATTTTTGAAATTGTTTTGCATAAAATAATGTTAATAAAATCTATGCTTACCTTTTCTATTAGCATCTGAAGATGCCTTTATACTTGCAATTTCCGACTTCAAGGTTTGGATTTCATTAAATACGTCATCACTACTGTGAAGAATTAGGCGTTTTTCACGAACAGATGAACTTGCGTATGAACAAAAAAGAAAAAGTACAACAGTTATCCATTTCTTCATGTTTGCAATGTAAACTGTGTTGTGAAAATGTGTGTTACCTTTGCTCGTTCCTTATATATTACGCGATAAATGACAAACCTTGGCTACTTAGACATTTTTCTGATGATGTTTTAGTTTTTCGTAAAATTGTTTTAAACAAGTAAGATAAAATTGTAAAGAGATTTGAGATCAAAGCAACGAAAGTAGGTAATGAATTACTGTCAACAAATTTCACAAGCGTTTGATCTTAAAAGTGCAATATAACAAATACCGGTACCGCTCGTAGTACCAACAGTATCATATGAAATAGAATAGGCTTTAATAAAAAAAATGTATTTCAAATGTTCTATTTACAGTGAAGACCATACATCTTCATAGAATAATAATCTAATTCAACGCAAAGCATTATATATATATCAAATTATGAACATTTAAATCAATTAGACAACGTTAAAATATTACAAAGTTAACTGTTTGAAGCTGCTTTTTTTTAATTACTATTTTTGCACTATATGTGTTAAGACGCATTTTCTGTCCTTTTTCTCTCACAGTAAAATTATTTAACGGGTACACGTACAACTAAATTCTAGGAAACAGCACAAATTGAAACTTTGATATTTATTTATATTTTTTTGTTTCAGTAAATAAACCGACTTATTTTATTGCATTTTGTTCGCATCTCTTTCTTCAGATTTGTTCTTGTTAAATATATCTTCACTCCTTTGAATAATAATGTGTTTGTCAAGTGTACATGTACATAGGAAATAAGGTGTAAGAATACCCTTTTTCACCCTAGCAAACATTTTTACAATATTAATTTTCTGAATGATCAAAAAAGGACATTCAGGAATATAAAAATCCATGACTCAACCTTATTCATATTTTCACACCCAAATCAAGAGAGAGGATATCAAGAAAAGTCTTAAGAACTTCATACAGTCCCGTTTTTATCATATTTAGAACATTTCTACAACATTAAAAATTCTGGCTGCCAGGTCGGTACAGAAAAAACTTCTAAACGTAGTTTTTTCCCTTTTTTAAAACTTTTAAATGGTAATATATGTCTTGAAAAAATCATTTAAAGTCGTATTAATTTCTTTGCAAAGCTTGTAATATTTTTAAAGTTCAGACCGCGCGGCCGCCAATTTCACGCCGCCAGCCGCCATCTAGACACGCCGCCAGCCGCTGGGCCGCCAACTTCACACTACTGAGACAGCCTGTAATTACAATACTTTTGGATGTTTATAAATTCAAAATTTCACCATTTTCATGTCTAAATTGTGATAATTACTGACAGACATATTCTTTCAACATTCTTCATTCGCTTGTTAGTATTTATCATTGTATGAAGTCTTTGCCGTTATCTTCAGTTCAGGTTGTGATTCCTTTAGAAGGAATGTTAGGATATGTTTAATAATCTGTGACTTGCCGAACAACCCATTAGCAAACGCCTTCTCATTTTAGATAAACCCTATAGATTTTACACACTCTTTGACATCAAACAAAAGTTTAATTGAAAAATAACACGTCGAAATATCAAAGGAAGTTTCCCGGATCGGTACCAGCGTTGTTTGTGATTGATTAAAAAGCAAAATAATTTAAAAGTTAGCAATAAACAACTTCTTAATTATGTCAGTTGAGTGATAGAATTTCATTCATTGAATGCTTGAATATTTACAGTTATGGTTTTGATAATATTTTTGCAAATACAAAAACAACATCATAATCTCTTGTTCAAACACAATGTGGAAAAAACATATTGCAAATATGCATGGAACTTGGAAAAACAGTTTTCTTCAATTTGCAATAATTTGGCAAAACAATCAGCTAGGCAATCAACATTCAGCTCAACATTAGATATTCATAAGATTTTGGTACAATTTTAAAAACGAATGTTAAGTTAGACAATAAACAATCAACTAGACTCTTAACATTACCAACGTTGAGCTGAACAATCGATATTCAGCTCAACGGTCAACTTTCGTTTCTTAACAATATGATTCCAAAACTAACTTTGAGCTAGAAAAATCAACAATCTACTAGACATTCTATACTTCCAATGTTGAGCTAAACAATCGAAATTGAGCTCAACATTCGTTTCTTAACAATATAATTCTGAAACGAATCAACAATCAGTTAGACGTTCAAAATTACTCATGTTGACTTACCTACTATCACTTGTTAAAACGCGCATATTTGGCTCATCTCCTAATGTCAAACCACTTGCGTGGACAAAGACATGAATTGAACAGAACATAATTTTATTTTATTTGACTTGCACGTATTACATTATCATACATAATGTGATAATACATTGATCAAAAAGCATAAACAATACATTTTCAATACTAATTTTCAATGAAGTATAAACAAACTTTAAAGCAGCACGCCTTCAGATTCACGCTAATTTTCATTAAATTTTTGAAATGTATTTGAATGAATAATATTGTGAAATAACCTAAAGGAAGCAATTTGCACATTATCAATGGCACTTACAACCCAAAAAGTTGTCAAACGATGCATAAATAGCCCTTACTGCGTTAATAACGCAGTAGAAATATAGTTGTAAATATGAAAAATCAGTCATTAACCACACATAACATGTGAAATATTACTTGAATCTTGAATAATTTTACTTTTACTAAAAATGTAGAACATATTTCTCAAATTTTGATTTTATTGAAATATTTTGACTCATCCGGAGACATGCAGTTTTAAAGACAATTTCAAGTTACATTCATTAGCCATTAGTTATTATTCCAGAACCTTACGACATTAACATGAGATTTAAAATGACACCACATGATGCATTTGATTGAAAATCACGAAATGACCAATGACGGCTCTTAACTACCGTCTTGGGGGTGTTTCTTGCCTTTAAAATATGAAGTGTTTTAAACAAGAAGAGTCCTTACATTGTCCTTAGTCTCTCATGAACAGATGCAATGTAAGTCTGAGACTATTTTACAGTAACCTAAACATTCAGAAGAATCAGGAAATAACATATGTGCATGGATTGAAATGTCGCATACACTGGTCAGTCATGCAGAATCCAAATTCCAGATTGATTACAGCAGTAGTGAACAAGAGCTGTCCGTAAGACAGCGCGCTCGACTTTTTTATTGCTTGCCAATAAAAAAAGTTTTTGCAGTAAAAGGCAATACAAGAATCTCTGTATTTTTAAAGTGAACTAGTTGTTTGATACCCTTGAATATTACAGCAATGTTTATATGACATAATTTATGGTAAAGTGAACAAGTGGATAGGAATGAATTTTTTTAGATTTTTTAAGTTTTTTAGTGCTTGCCTATAATACAAAACATTGACAGTTAAGGGCCATAATTCAAATAAAATCTTTGACAGAATTACCTTCTCCTGGACATGTTTGGGAATCATGATTGTAAACAAGTATTCCAACTTTCAAATTAATATCTCAAACAGTTCAGTCAAAAAGTGGACTGGTACTAAAAACTTAACCAAGATTCTAAGTCGATAAAAGGCCTTAATTTTTAAAACAAATCCTTGACAGAGTTACCTTCTCTTGCGTACAGATGGGGGTAATGATGTGAAATAGCATTAAAAGTTTCAAAGCAATATCTCAAAGGGTTAAGGCAATAAGTGGATTTTACCCATATTCAATGTATTTTCTAAGTCAAAAAGGGGCATAATTCTGTCAAAAACCTTGACAGAGTTATGTCCTCTTGTCTGTTGATGAAGGTCGTGATGGTAAACAAGTATGGTCAGTTTCAAAGCAATACCTCCAATGGTTTTGAAATAAAGTGAGGTGGTACAAAAAACTTAACCAAGCTCAATACACTTTCTAAGTCAAAAAAGGGCCATAATTCTGTCAAAAACCTTGACAGAGTTATGTACTCTTGTCTGTAGATGGAGGTTATGATGGTGAACAAGTATGGTAAGTTTCAAAGCCATACTTGTAATACTTCTGAAATAAAGTGGGGTGGTACGAAAAACTTAACCAAGGTGTGACGCCAACGCCGACGCCGACGCCAACGCCGACGCCGGGGCGAGTAGGATAGCTCCCCTTTTCATAGAAAAGTCGAGCTAAAAATTACCACGCCCCTTTCTCTTAGTCAAATGCCGACAAGCACAGTGTGGCAATACCACGTGACATTGACGTCATTTTCGGCATCATTTCCAAGACAAATGTTGCTCGATTCGGAAAAGAAAATAGCCGTAAATATTTTATTTCTGTATCAATTTCTTTGGGATATGCACCAGTCTACGGGGAAAAATATAAGCTTTCCATAGAATATTGGATCTTCGTCAGTTTATAAGCCGTTTTATCAAACACTTTGCATAACCTTGGAAGTTGCTTGTATTAGAGCGGGCTTCAGTTGCAAGCTATTTCGTTTTCTGGCGTTATCTGGTCTACGCCATGATTAAAAAGTCAAGTTTACATCAACCGGGAGTACGGAAGGCAAAACTCTACCTAAATATGTTCATATTTTTATTATGAATGACATAAATCTTACATTTTTCTTCAATTGTCAATTCTGGCACCAGTTCCAAGTCGAAAAAAAGGACTACAGTTTAAAGCAGATTTTAGAATCCGTTGCAAATGCAAAGCAACATGCCTTCCGTTCTCTTTCTATAATTATGTTAACCATGAAAAACATTTTATTTACTATACGATTTACATAGATCTAAACACAAATGAATATTTAAATGAGTTTTACTCGCTGCGCTATATAAGTGATTTTAAAAGTCGTAAAATTGTTGTCTGTATTTGTAAAGAAATTGATTTGCTCTTTAATCATTGTTCTTTCACGGTAATGATTATGAAAAATCTATTTGTGTCATGTAGCAATACTAAACGTGGAATAGAAAACAGAAACCCTAAATATCGCCCAAAACGGCAAAATTGAAAATGTTTCAGGCTCTGATTGACTTAGCTAGGATCACTTCGATTTGTATGCAGTGAAAAGGGTTACGCCTCAACGCGGCACTTTTAGTCAAAGTCAAAGGTTATTCTTTTGTAAAGAGCTATTTATACGTATAACCATATATAATATATAAAGAACCTGTAGCAATCTTTTAGTATGATAGATTCAGCTTTTTAACACAGTGGCACTCGTTGATAA